AATAATAAATAAATAAATAAATAAATAAATAAAATTAGATAAATAATAAAAAAAGAAAAGAAAAAGCAAGACTCAATGTCAGACAGTGGTGCCACAGTAATGCCACTGGACCCACATTGGGAGGTCCCTGGTTCACAGCTCAGAGCCTCCCATGCACACTTGTGCATGTTCACGCCTGTGATCCAGGCTACTGAGGCTGGAGGTTGGAATGTGGTGTGAAGACCCTGCTGGCCTATCTCTGCCTCCCTCTCTCCTGCACTCACTCCCTATCATAAAAATCAAACACACATTGTGGGATCAGCAGGTGGCATGGTGGCTAAGGTGCTGGACACTTCCACATGTCTGACCACGGTTTGAGTCCCAAACCTGGTGGCTTGCTGTCTCACTTCCTCAGCCCCCACCTTGTCTCTGCATGTGTGTGTGTGTATGTGTACGTGTGTGTGTGTGTGTGTGTGTGTGTGTGTGTCTGGTCACATTAAAATACATGGATAAATAAATAAAATTATAAGAAAACCCACACATTCAAAGATTAAAATAATAATAATATTAATAATAATAATAACAGGGCCATTTGGTGGTGTGGTGGTTGGAGTAGCTTGATCCCACATGGTCAACTGTGCAGTTTGAGCCCCAGACCCAGCTCCTTGAGAAACACACCAGATGCACACGTGTGTGTGTGTGTGTGTGTGTGCTCAAAATCTCAAGAGGAGAATGGAGGAGAAGGGATTGTGACGTGGCCATCTCTGCTACAGGGTGATTTCTCACTTTCCCTCCCTTGCTCTTTCTCTCTCTCTCTCTCTCTAGTGAGCTCATGTGCCCTACAGCAAAAATTAAAATAAATAAATAAGTGACCAGCAGATGGCATAACAGTTTTGTTACTGGACTCCCACATGGCTGACTGCCGTTTGAGTCCCAGACACAGTAGCTTGACACTCAATGCCAGGCATCTATGTGTTCATGTCCAAAATCCTGAGAGGAGAGCTGAGGAGAGGATATTACAGTGTGTCCACTGGACTCCTGATTTCTTGCTTTCTATCTCTCTCTCCAGTGAGCACACATGCCCAATACCCAAAATCTCTAAAAATAAATAAATAAAAATTAATTAATTATTGTTATTATTTTTTAGCCATAGGATGGGTGTGCATGTCAGAGAGAGAGAGTGAGAGAGAAATTCTAAGAAAACACACACATTAAAAGATTAAAGTAATAATAATAATAATAGGACCTTCTGGTGGTGTGGTGGTTGGAGTAGTTTGATTCCCCGTGGCCCACTATGCAGTCTGAGCCCCAGACCCAGCAGCTTGAGAAACACGTCAGGTGCGTGTGTGCGTATGTGCTCAACATCCCAAGAGGAGAATGGAGGAGAAGGGACTGTGGCGTGGCCATCTCTGCTAAGGGTGATTTCTCACTTTCCCTCTCTTGCTCTTTCTCTCTCTCTCTGGTGAGCTCATGTGCCCTACAGCAAAAATTAAAATAAATAAATAAGGGACCAGTAGATGACATGGTTATGTCACTGGACTCCCACATGGCTGCTGCCATTTGAGTCCCAGACCCAGTGGCTTGACACTCAGTGCCAGGCATCTGTGTGTTCATGCCCAAAATCCTGAGAGGAGAGTGGAAGAGAGAGGATTACAGTATGGCCAAACCCCCTGTGATTTCTTGCTTTCTGTCTCTCTCTCTCCGGTGAGCACACATGCCCAATACCCAAAATCATAAAAATAAATAAATAAATAAACATTAATTAATTAATTAATTATTTTTAGCCATAGGACATGTGTGCATGTCAGAGAGAGACAGTGAGAGAGAAAGTGAGAAATCGCCCCTCCAGGGGGGATGGCCACGCCACAATCCCTTCTCTCCATTCTCCTCTTGGGATTTTGAGCACGCATGCACACGCACCCGGCGTGATTTTTTTGGGGGGTTGACGAGAGGTTTATATTATAGGGCATATGTGCTCCCCAGAAAGACAGACAGAAAACAAGAAATCACCCCCCAGGAGGGACGGCCACACCACAATCCCTTCTCCTCCATTCTCCTCTCGGGATCTTGGGCACGCACACACACGTACCTGGCATGAGTTTAAGCCACCAGGCCCAGGACTTGAACCATGTTCGTCTACACAGGAGTCTAGCAACATAGCCATTACGCCAACTGCTGGTCCCAACATACTCATTTCATTGCCTTTGGCAGAACACTGGTGGTCTTTCTGATCGATCAAGAATGGTGACCATGGAAGAAGTGAACCTCACCCAGGTCTCCGATGGTCTCCGAGTTCTTGCTCTTGGGATTCTCAGAGGACCCCAAACAGCAGCAGCTGCTTTTCGTCATTTCCATGAGCATGTACTTGGTGACTGGGCTGAGAAACCTGCTCATCATTCTGGCCATCGGCACAGATGCCTGGCACCACAAGCCCATGTACTTCTTCCTGGCCAACCTGACCTTTGTGGACATTTGTTTCACCTCCACCACCGTCCCCAAGATGCTGGCCAATCACGTGTCAGGATGCAGAGGGATCCCTTACGTGGGCTGCTTGACTCAGACATTTTTCTTTATCTGGTTCACAGGTATCAACAGCTTGCTGCTGACTGCCATGGCCTATGACTGCGATGTGGCCATCTGTCACCCCTACATTACACAACATCTGTGACGCCATGGCTCTGTGGCCTCCTGGTGGCTTCCTCCTGGACCACCGCCTTCTGGAACGCCCTGATCCACATTATCTTCCTGACCCACCTTTCATTCTGCACCTACAACCAGGTCCCCCATTTCTTCTGCGAACTCAGCCTTCTGCTGAAGCTGGCCTGCTTGGACACGTTTATCAACAACATGATGGTGTACACTGTGAGCACCCTGACAGTCATCAAGCCCTTTGTGGGCATCTTGGTGTCCTACACGCACATCGTCGCTGCAGTGTTGAGGATCCCATCCGCGGGAGGGAGGCAGAAGGCTTTCTCCACCTGCAGCTCTCACCTGTCCATGGTGACCTTGTTCTAGGGATGCTCATTGGGGTTTATTTCAGCCCCATGTCCTCCCTCACAGCCCTCAAAGGCACAGCGGCTGCAGTGATGTACACCGTGGTCACCCCCATGCTGAACCCCTTCATCTACAGTCTGCAGAATAAAGACATAAAGAGGGCCCTGAGACAATTCTTCTGAAGGAAGGGATAAAAGGGTCACATTTAAAATGTGTATGTAAGAGAAATGTCATGGTGAACACCGTGGGTGCTCTGACCGTCATCACCCCCTTCGTGGGCATCTTGGTGTCCTACACGCGCATCGTCGCTGCGGTGTTGAGGATCCCGACCACCGGAGGGAGGCGGAAGGCTTTCTCCACCTGCGGCTCTCACCTGTCCGTGGTGACCTTGTTCTACGGGACGCTCATCGGGGTTTATTTCAACCCCATGTCCTCCCACACAGCCCAGAAGGACACGGCGGCCGCAGTGATGTACACCGTGGTCACCCCCATGCTGAACCCCTTCATCTACAGTCTGAGGAATAAAGACATAAAGAGGGCTCTGAGACAATTCTTCTGAAGGAAGGGATAGAAGGGTCACATTTAAAATGTGTATGTAAAAGAAAGACCCATAGCCTCAGAGCCAGAAATATATTTCATAGGTTTATCAACAGTACTAGGGAGAAATGTTCACCTGTTGAAATATCCATTTCGTATGATAAATAATAATGTGATTGAATGTATGGAAGAAAATGAAATGAAAAAATAATGATTATGAGGTAAAAACTTTTAAATAATTTGTTTAAAAAATAAAGGAAGAACAAAGAAATAGTGATTCTTTATGTAGATTGTAAATTAGAACTTTTTTCCTCTTTTTTTCAAACTTTTATTTATTACTTTTATTTATGTACATTTGATCACTGTACATTTTTACAGCATACAAAATAACCTTTCCCAGAGTGAATATAGTGCATCTTAGTCAAGTCATACTTATCATCATATGTATCATTATCAACAGGTGACTTTTTAGTTTTGTTTCTGTTAAACGTTTTTCCCTTGGGTCTATCCTTATTTTCTGGTGTTTCAATTTCTTTGCTCCTCATGCTTACAGCTGTATAAAATGTATATTTGTTTTAGAAAGCTTTCTGTCCTCTCTGATCTCCAACCATTTCCCCCCTTGTCATTTCCCTCTTTATCCATAGTTATACCTAAAATAATTTAGAGATTCTCACTTGTCTCACACATTCATGCTATGTAAATTGGAACACTGACAAGTTTCAAAATCTGAAACATTTTCAACACTGATTTGATGCTGCAGTGTATAATTCTATACCCCATTTCATGTCCTAGGTCATAGCATGACAAGTTGAATTCAAAATAAAGTGTATATACCTTCAGGCATGTGTATAAGGTATATACAAAATGATGCTTAATTCTGTGTTTTGACTTGTACTCAATTCACAAGATATCTCAGTGTATGCATAGGGATGTTTCAAAACAAGAAATAATCTGGAATCCTAAATACTTCTGGTCCCAACCATTTTAGGTAAAGGGAATTCAACCTGAATATAGATGTATTTTAAATTTGCTATAAATTCATCTGCTAGTGGACATTTGGGTTGGTTCCATGCTTAGCAATTGTGAGTAATGCTGCAATAAACATGGATGTGCAAATGTTTTTCTGACAGAGTGTATTCCTATCCTTTGGGTAGATACCCAGGAGTGGAATTACTGGATCATCTGGTAGTTCTATTTTTAGGTCTTTGAAGAATCTATATTGTCCTCCACAGTGACTACATTAGTTTACATTCCTACCAACAAGAAATAAATGAATAAACCTTGAAAGTAAAAAAAAAAAATACTGTAAGTTGCATGTGCTCACTGAAATGAGGCAGAGAGAAAGAGGGAAAGTGAGGAAACATTCCCAGGGAGGATGGCCACACTGCAACCCCTTCTCCTTTATTCTTCTTTTGGGATTTTGAGCATGCATGCATATATGCCCAGGGTGTTTTGCAAGCCATCAGTTTTGTGACTCAAACCACAGAGTTGGCTATGTGGGATCCAGCTGCCTTAACAACCCCACAGCCTGGCTGGCACTCAACTTGTATTTTGATGAGTTGTCTTAGGCCTATGGAATAAACTACACTAGGCAACTCTAACATGATTGGTATAATTTTATTGTCAATTTATATCTGGAACCATGGTATTTTACTTTTGCAGCCATCCTTCAGATTTACATCATTATATTAACTACTCCTCTTGAAAATGTAGGCTTTCATATATTGTGGATTTTATAGCAGATCATGGGTACTTACAGCCCCATTGGTCTCTTTCTCTCTCTCTTTTCAAGACTGATAAGAGACAATTTATCAATATCCATGAATGCCAAAGATAACATCACTCCATATGGTATAGACATTAAGCATATAATAAAAGAAGATGACAGATAATTTTTCATCAATATTGGAAAATTTAGATGAAAAGGCTAAATTTACTCTGAAAAAACATTTTATCACTGTACCTATAACACAATAGGCAATAAGATTTGAGGACCAGCAGATGACATAAAGGTTACATCACTGAACTCCCACATAGTCAACCTCATTTCGAGTCCTGGACCCACTGGCTTAAATCTCATGATGTATGTGTGCCCAAGATCCTAAGAGGAGAAGGGATTGCTGTGTGGTCATCTCCCCATCACCCCCAGGGGGAGTGATCTCTCACTTTCCAGCTGTGTTTTTCTTTCTCTCCAAAAACTTCATGTGCCCTATAGCAAAAATCTCTCTTAAAATTAAAAAAAGAATAGCAATCTGAATTATCTTACAATTGTTAAAAGAATTAACTCACTAAACAAAAAACTACCCACAAAGAATATCCCAGAATCTTAAAGAGAGGCATCATATGTCCTCACTTAATATATACTGAATATCTGCACTTGCAAAAACTGAAAGATTGGCAAATATAAAACCATAGAGAGCAACTATGGATACTAGAGACAGGGAGGGAGGAGGATGGGAAATGGGATGCTAGTGAAAGGGATGGAATCAAGTGGAAAAAAAGGAATAAAACATTTAAGGGACATAGAAATGGAAAAGTATCTGTTGATGATAATGTGTATGGTAATAAGGGAGGAGACCAGATACCCCAAAGTAACTTGACGTCTCTAGTGATTCCCATCTCTTTTCAAGCCTTACATTCTGGGCATCCACAATGGACTTACACCTTAATTCTCCATCTTCATTCAAATTCTTGTATCTCTGTTGTTTATTTGCACTTCACTTTCCACCTCTTCTAACAAAGGTTCTTAAGAAATACCTGCACAAATATGGGGGTCTTATGAAAAAAGCAGTACTGTCACAAGACAAGTGATATATGGCAAGGATGGGGACAACATGAACAATTTTTCTAAAGCAGCTTGTAGCTAGTCTCTTAATCTAAGATTTATACATGAGATTCCAACACTGGACCCATTGTCTGAAGGAAAAGAGATGATTTCTTTCTTAAATAGGGATTGGGAGTTGGAAGTGATGGACAAACAAGGATTATTTACCTCTGAGGGGGGCTTGAAGCCCTCAGAGAGAATTTCCATAGGGGCTTCATTCACACTTATTTCTCTAATAGTATTTAGGCACTGAGGGCGAAGCCTCATCCTTTAAGGCTTAAGCCAGATGTAGCTTTAATTTACTTTGACCATGAGAGTATGTTGATGTTTACATTAATTCTTAATGGTCTATTTCTGCGATTCTATGGAACCTTGCCCCAACCACATGAACAAATTCAGGCTACCCAGCTTCAGAAGGAGAGAAAATGTGGGAGGGGCTAGCTGTCTTACTCAAGGTCCCTGCAGATCAGACAACAGCCAGCCAAGTCCTCAAAAGATGAAAAACCTCAGCCAACATAAGCTGTACCTATTCGTTTGAATCACAGATAACTATATAACTCAGGTTCATGAGATGATCAGAAAACTTCAGAAATATTGCCCCTCATATAGTCACATTAGGTAACAAATGTATTACACTAAACCATTTTCTTTTAGGGTAGTTGTTATACAACAGTAACTAATGCAATAACAAAGTGAACAGAATGAAGGGTAATTACAATAATCTTCTGCTTTGTATTGTGACTCTTTTTTTCCTTGATCTATGAAGACTGTATTCATGATTACTTTTCTATTCAGATGTTTGAGAAGATTGTTTTAGAAAGTAAGTAGAACAAGATTCCATTCCAGGAAACCAGGAGAGGTTAGAAAGATGCCTGTTTGGGTAGAAATACTTGTGACCCAGAATCACATAAGTGCACAGATATTCAAGGTTACTTGTCAGTGATGGTTTGATCATGAAGATTGAAAAGATATCTATGCTTAAAGGAGATATAATATATATGAAACTGACAATAGCCATTCACTGCTCCTTTGAGGATTGCGACAAAGTTTAGAAAAGATGGCTATGTTTCATTTAGAGAAACAGATTAGCTTGCTTTATTTAGCAGTAAATCTTCCTTATTTGTCCACTTCCTATCAAATGCCAGGGTCTCATTGGTTTTTATATTTAGGAAGCACAGGAAATTGTCAATAAGTAGTAGGATGATATTTAAATAATGAAATATAAATCAAACCAAACCAGACTTCACCAAAATAAATTATAAATTTTATAAATTATAAATTAACACCAACCTTTTACATATAACTAAATAGATGTAGAGAATTAAACAAAAATATTTTGCATAGTAGTGTAATTCATAGCTTGGAATTTGGAGAATCATATTTAAATTAATCTCTGACATTAAGTCCATAAAAACACAACCATTTATTGAAAGGTGTGTTTCCAACCAGATTCCACTTAGAGACATGTAGATAGTAATGACTTATTTTAGGAATTATGAAGGAACTGCGGTCGCCAGAATATGTAAGACAAAGGATCTTAAAGATGGGAATAAAACCCAATGACAAGTTATAGACTAAAGTTTCTGTGTTAAATTGCACATTTTCATGAACAGTTGAGGTGGTCAAGTGTTACGGAATGATGAACAGAAAAATTTTAAATTGTAGTATCAGATTTTTTTCTACTGTTGAATTTTGTTGTTGTTAAAGGTTTCTGCTACAGGGTGTGTATGCTCGCTGGAAAGAAAGAAAGAAAGATACAGTGGAAAGGAAAGAGAGAAATTACTATAAAGGCAGGGTGGCCATGCTGCAATCCCTTTTCCTCAAATTTTCTTCCCAGTATCCTGGGCACGTATGCCAACAAGCCCGGTGTGATTTTCAAGCTGCCACTTCCAGGACTTGAGCCACGGTCTGCCCTGTGGGAGTCAATATTTTAAGAACTATGCCACCTATTGGTCCCTGAATTATATTACTGACATTGGCAACCAAGTGTAGTTATTTTGTTCCCATAAATAAAGCACAGCATATGATATTTTCATATAAGAAAGGCAAAATTATTCCATATATGTCATTGGAGAAAAATAGTTTTAATAAATTAATGTTGCTCCATGATACTAATTGGGATTTCCAAGTATTTCTGATCAATGGTTGGGACAGAGAAAAATGTCTAGATATTACAGTGGAAAAGCGAGGTATTTATA